CGGCCTGTTGTAATTTTGTGTTTACACAGTCCCCTCTTCAGACATACCGAATTTCGATTGCAAAGGATGTCTTATAATATTCAGTTCGTCCTCATTTTCTTTAATTTAATGCCCGATTTTGTCTCTTGCATGGCTCTTGTTCTGTCTCGTAAGCACGAAGTACTAAATTTTTACCATTATTACGGTTTGTTACAGATGAGAAAGTTACTGAGTTGAAGAACGTATTCCATTTTCGCGTCTTTCAATATGCACAGCAACATCTGTTAGTTTATATTTAGAATCGAGGTCTGAAGAGAAGTCACAGTTCAATATTTCTGCCGCCCAAGTTGCGTACTGCACTTGTGGGACGGACGAGTGGACTGAATTGGATACTTGACATGTCAGCTGAAAGAGGAAATTCTTTAAGAGTTTTGGGGCGGGTCTTCCTCTGTGTCATGGCCGACGCGCTATTTTCGACCACAGAACTCCCAAGATTCGAGGTCGCTAATACTAAAGCCCACCGCTGGAAACCATCCTATGCCATGTGAATTCAGTTCAGACCTTCACTATTTCCATATGATGTTATACATTTCCTTCATTCTTTCCTCTTAGAAATGATTGCTTTCTAAAGGGTTAACCGCCAAATGATGCAAGAGGAATATTATTTATGACGAAACAGAAAAGATGGTTGACTTGTTTGAAAGTAGCATCTCGGTGTTCCCCTGATCAGACTAATGAAAACAGCCATTCATCTCGGTCAGGATAGGCATTGCTTCAGAAAAGATTTGAACTGGGTACCTGCCGAATGCAATGCAGAAAAATGATCATTATACAGTGACGTCCAGAAAAATATCCGCTGATCGTTACAGAAATTTACATTACGATTTACTGCACATTTTTGTTTTAATTTGACGTCGTAATATTGCAAAACTTTTACCATAAGATCAAGGTTACTTTGACACAGTGCCAATATTATATCGTGATTAAAACTACAACTTTGCTCCATTTATCAACTAAATATGTCTGGCTGGCTTAGCTCTCCTTGTTTCCATAAATGTTATATAACATTATATAATACTGTGACGTGTCCGGGGTTCCGTGACGAATAATAACGGACTCTGGGTTGCATTTATTGGCACCTTATTACAATTACAATTACAATTACAATCAATTATAACAGCTCACAATGACTGTCTAAGACCCGCTCCATTCCTTACAGGACTATGAGTGTCTTTTCTTCTGCCGTGACTGACTTGGTTGTGATTACGAATCGGTCACTTCTTCAGCTTCCGTTTCCGCTGGTTAACACTAACCGCTCTTACGACTGAATCATAGAACTCCCTTATGAATGAATCTCTTTTCTTTACATGGCTCCTTATACAGTCTATCAGTAACCACGGAGAATGTCTGTCGCCTGGCTGTCACGGGAACGTGCCTTGTACTGAATTGGTCTGCAAGGATCTACATTCGTAGCAACGTGTGTTAATTCCGTGACTATTCGTTGCCGCGTGGACGTGCTCACCAAACCGTTGCCCAGCAATGTTCATATTCGTCACAATACGTTAATTTCATAAATTTATGGATAATTAACAGAAATCACGCCACATGAAAAGTACGCGTGTGGCCTTCTCTTTCTATGGTGCAGTGTCTTATTTGAGGCAAAGTCTTAATGATGCCTCCTTCTTCAGCTAGTAATGATCTGATACGTACGCGTAATTAGGAATAAAGTATTTACACCAGTACAGTGTCACTTTGAGACAGTTGTACAAAGGACACACAGAGATTATAATAAAGCAAATATAAAGGAAATATAATAATGACAAATTTGTTATGTGGACGTAGAAAGAATCCATCGTGCTCGGGGTGGTATCCAGTGACATACCAAATTTCGAGTTCCATATAGGGGGAGGAATGTCTCGCATAAATGGACAGCTGTCAGCTTATCAAGGATTCTGCCGCACAGCCATCGTCTCTTGTGTACGACTGACTGAATCCATCTTATTATTCAGGTACTTACTTACTTATGGAGCTCAGTCCTTCTTGATGAGCAGCCAAATCTGCAGCTACTTAAGAATTTCCCAGCATATTATGGAACCCGAAGGTTCATTCCCGTGTTCACAAGAACCCTCCAGTGGTCCCTATCCTGAGCCAGATTAATCCAGTCCATACCACCCAATCCTAACTATAAGATCAATTTTAATATTGTTCACCCACCTATATTTTGGTTCTCGCAGTGGTCTCTTTCCTTCTGGCTTTCCTACCAATATGCTATATGCATTCCTCTTCTCCCCCATTCGTGCTACATGTCCACCTCATTCTCCTTGACTTCATTATTCTAATTATGCTTGGAGAAGAGTACAAGTTATGAAGCTTCTCGTTATGCAATTTTCTCCAACCTCCTCTCACTTCATCCCTCTTCGGTCCAAATATTCTCTTCAGCGCCCTGTTTTCAAACACCCTCAGTCTATGTTCCTCCCTTAATGTCAGAGACCAAATTTCACACCCATACAGAACCACAGGCAAAATTATAGTTTTGTATATCATAATTTTTATGTTCTTGGACAGCAGACGAGAAGACAAAAGGTTCTGGACTACAAGTACAGTTATAGAATTTCTGTAGTAACAACACATTATTCTCAGAGTTGACGACGACAACGTTTACACACGCTAGCGTAGTTTAAAGTCACAGCTCGTGTTTTATGGAAGACAAAGACGTCATGAATATTTTACACGTTTTCTAAGACTCGTACATATTCTGTGACATTCGTTCGACCTACAGAAAGAAATCCTTGTGCATGTAATTTATCATGCTGAATCATAACGATATAGAAATAGCGCTTAGTCATGGCTACATTGAGTTAGAGTAAGGGAGGCTGTTTGCAAATTGTGGCAAGCAAAACAAAACAGGGGCCCAGAGAAGTCGGCCTGTAGGATGATAGCCCTATTACTTTACTGGGGGCCTCTGGAGTGAGCGAGAAGGAAGGATAAGATTGCGAACGGCCGAGAAAAGCAAGATCATGAGATCAGATATGTGTTGCGGAAGCAGAATTACTGACAGCTTACCTAGAGCTCTGTTGGGAAATTTTAATATGTAATTTACATGCACGGTACCATGTTTAATTTTTTACTGTTACTGTTACTGTTACTGTTACTGTTATTGTTACTGTTTAGATTACCCACCCAACTCCCTACCGGCCTTCTAAGTGACTGCTTTCCAAGGGGATCTCTAGGCCGCGCCATAGCTCAAGCGGTTAGTCGCTGGCTTCCCACCGCGGCGACCCGGGTTCGATCCTCGGTCTGGTCAAGTGGGATTTGTGGTGGACAAAGTTGCGCTGGAGCAGGTTTTCTCCGAGTACTTCAATTTCCCCTGCCAATCTTCATTGCACCAATTGCTCCACAATCACCCTCACCTATCATCTGGGGCTGGTACAATAGGCCAGAAGTGGCCGCAGTACAAGGGACTTAGTCCCACCCCACTAGCAATAACAAAATAATAACCAGCGGATAACGGAAGTTGAAGAAGTGACCGATTCGTAAATCAGAACCAAGTCAGTCACAGTGGAAGAGAAGACACTCGTAGTCCAGTAAGGAATGGAGCCAGTCTAAGACAGTCATAGATTGTGAGCTGTTATAACTGATTACAATTAAGAGTGATTGTAAAAGAAGGCGTCAATAAATCCAATCATCCAATCCAGAGCCCATTATTACTTGTAACGGAATCCCGGTCACGTGACAATATTTTGGCTGAAACAGGCTGCATGTTTCAAAATGATACAATATAAGAACATAATAATAATAATCTAGAAGGAACTGAAATCAATACATCTAGCTACAGTTTAAATTTCTAATAAGTAGGAGGGAATATATGTTAAAAAGCCCCCCAAAAAGCCGATAGAATATATAAAGCAATAAATGAATAGTACTGTCGTTTAAGTCTGCCTCTAATTTAATGACAAAGCTGTTCACCAAAGACAATACACTTGGCGCACTTCATGCACAAAAACGGCACTTGAAACTTGCCTCATTATCTGCAGATTACAACTACCCTCGTGACGCCATTAATTGAATTCGACCTTTACATGTGCATGCAACAACTGAAAACTAACAAATTAAGATGAAATTATTAGTCAATAGAACACACTACATCTACATAACATTTGCTTTCGTGATACTTAATACCTCTTGATTTTTTATCGAAGATCTTATTTGAGGTTTTCATTACAACACGAACCGCAAAAACATAAAACTGGGCATAAACGGCGTGCAATCCCTTAGAAGTTCAACTGACAACACAAATTATTGGAAGATTCTGATACATTACAGTGCAATGTAGAGTTCTTGGAACCTAAAAATTGACGTGTGTACCATTACCCACTGCGTGCCAACACCCCCAGTTTCTCTTATGGCTTCTTGAAAATACGCATGAATGGAACACATTGCTATTTATTGTTAACATTTAATTTATTTATTTACGCACTTCTTCCAACAATGTCACTGGTAAAAATAGGTAAGGCTATCCCTGTAAAGGGCCATAGAGGTCCATAGGATTGTGAGACGTCGAGGCTACCACATTTTCCAGGCAACTGATTCACAGATGACGATAAGGTTGTCAGCTTTACGCGCCGGCCGCCCGTTAACCGCAGGAAGATTCCTGGTACTCATTTCTGTAGACCTCTGAGCCATAGTGCGGCTGTTAGGATTTGGTCAATTGAAAAATCCAATAACCTTACTGGAAATCGAACCCACGACCTTCTAGCTTGTAGCATAGTGCCTCAACCAACTACGTTGCGGGGTGTCACAACATTGTTACTGACTTCAGTTTATTTTGGATGTTTGCTGATGTGTGTGAAAATATTTTAAGAGCCCATTATGTTCGATTTCATTGTTGCCATACGAAACACGCATTTCCTACCAATTATACGGCCAAGTATCAACGCTTGAGACCAAGAACTGCCGCTTAGTAACGACCCAATCACTACTTCCGGCTGTCATTATACCTAAAAACATGTTACAGGATTTACCTTGTTGAGGCGTGGATCCCGCAGATGGTCGAGACCTCGTACAGTTGAGGGGCACACATTGTCTCCAGTTTCTTCGTCGAAGGTCCATTGGCCAAGCCGGTCTCTCTGATGTTCCGACATGTCTACTACCTTCTCCGGTTCTTCGTACACAACCTTGCACCTTCCGCCATAGCCGATACCGTTCCTACACAAGCGACATCTGGGTCAGCATCGCGCATGCGCAGAATTACAGAAAAGCACAGCTGATCATTACGTAACGTTTTCTGTTGAAATGCTTATCATCGTATCAGCTGGCCAACTGCCATGCTACCCATACTATCGTTAACCATGTTCGATTAGGAAATTTGTACATAATTACGGTGATATGTCTCTTTACTAAAAAAACAGAGCAATACTGATATGTTTACATTTCATGAGATTCCTGCCCGACGATGATCAGAGTTGATATTACTTTATATTTACATTTTGTATAATTACGACTAATATACATGCATACCCACCATCAGTAACTTTTATTTATTTATTTGTTCTTTATATAACGACGCTGAAATTAGCTCAGCCTGCATGAAGTCGAATGTTGGATGATAATGAATGATGAATTAGAAATGATTTGAAAGCAAGCAGTCGTGGCCCAGTTTAATGCATTATCCCGGAATTAGCCTGCAGGTACTGAGGGAATCACGAAAATCTCAGTCAGGATAGTCGGTGCCTAGGCCGACATTCGAACCGGAGACCTTTTAAATGCAAGTCAGAATCGTTGCTGCTTGAGCCAACTTGCTCCGTTTTCAGCCCTTCGTTCAGGGAGGAGTCTACAGGAATAGATATGGATCTATAATAGAGGCAGTTATACAACAAGAATTATACGGGATTGATGTTCTGAAATACCGTATTTACGCATGTATAGGCCGCGTGCGTGTATAGGCCGTAGCACAATTTTCAGACAGAAATTATAGAAAAAATATTTTTTTTTGGAATATTATTTCAGGAGTATTGCACCCTGTATTACTAATTATGAATATAATTTTTTTAAAATGAAGTGTGATTTCGAATATTTCGAATATAAGCCGCATCCCAGTTTTCCTCTTGAATTTTTGGCAAAAAATGTGCGGCCTTTACATGCGTAAATACGGTACTTATTTCAGCAGTTGACATGTTGCACATGGAAAACTTAAACACGCGAATATAAACCGCAAAGATAAACTGCGTTACCCTGGAAGATTTTTACGGAAGTGAGATCGTATGAAAAACAGAAGACCAGCACAATATTTCCTCATTAAACAGAAGTTGTTCGGCAGCGTAAAAAACACAGCAATTACAAATTCTGACAATCGTTATATAGACTGTCACCCATAAATGCGGTTACTGGTACTTACATATATATTTCATGGACGCAGTAAGGAATTTTTCTGGGGGTGGGGGAGGGGATTACCAGTTTTCCAAGAGTGCAGCCCGATAATTTGCCTATAACTTTACGTTTAATCCATGTAAGACTATTTTTGTTGATTGTCCTATAGTGTTCGGAATAGAAAAAAAAATCATTTCGTAATACTTTAATTGTTGTTATTAATATTTTGTTACACAAGTTTTATTAATTCCTTCCAATGTGACTGATCAGTCACACTAGACGGACTTAATAAACCTTTTGTAATATTGTGTGACGGACCAGAATGAATCAAATCAAACTAATATTTTATATTTGTTCAATCCTTTTACAATATTAGTTACTTCAAGTTATCCGGGGGATGGGGCAGATGCCTACTATCCGCTCCCACTGGGGCTCATGATCCTCATGATCCATATGATGTGAGGTTCAAGTGGACGAAGAAGCAATTATATTACAGTCTGACCGCTCGGCATTTGTGGCTTTCCATAAATTCAATTACACGCGAAAGAGTATACGTTGTTCGTGCAAGTGTGAACCGGAAGTGCTCAAGCCAGTTTCAAGATGGTCGACCGTGACTAATCTTAGAGTCCAATCTGGCTGGCCCGTCTTCCTGCCCAGTGGGATAAATGGGCTAACGCAGCTGGGTTATGAAGTTTTCCATCACATACATTGAATGCAGAGAGTGGAAATGTACAACACGTTATTTTCTGACACTGCCCCTTGTAAATTGTTGCTGGCCTTCGCCAACACAGTCGTTCTTCATTCCGAATTCCGTTGGACTCACGACCATATCTTACTGTCTCAGGACTCTGGGAGTCGTGCAGTTCCACCCAAGACCTATGTTCCATTCTGTTGGTCCTGTAGACCTTCATGACAATATGCTTGGGCACATGGGACTTCACTGAAGTTCACGATATGGACAGCATACTGTGCGAAATGGTTGCAAAGGGACTGGTTTTTGCGTGACGCTATTCGACAACATTAAGAGAAGCCTACTTAATTTTTTTTTTCGGGGCAAGACAGATATTGCAATTTGTGTTAATTGTGAGATTCTGCTGATCAGTTAATTTAATGAACTAAAGGAAGCTAGGAAACTCTTGAAGTGTGAAAATGCAGAGAACAGAACATATTTGCGAGGTACAGATGCGACCTGTTTTTAGTTTTCAGGATCAGTAGCATGAAGCTGAAGAATGGTACGACTTGATATCCAGTTAAGAGTGTGAGTGACGTAAATGCAATTCCTACCCGTGTATCTTTGTGACTACCAGAGCTTTGCAGTTCGTAAAGATTCTCCGGCCGGTCACGGTAGCCGAGCTGTCTAAGGCATGTACTGTCTTCGCTCTCTTGGAAACCGGGATCGTGGGTTCGATTCCCACTCAGGGCATGAATGTTTATGAATGTTTGCATGCGTTTTTCTGTGTCTGTGTACAGGTAGAGGCCTTGCGAAGAGCTGACGACACGCCCAAGGAGTCCTACCGAATGTGTAAGATCTAGAAAAATCGAAGTGAACGGAGAAGTTCATGGAGGTAGGCCTAGGCCCACTGGGGCTGTAGTGCCAAGGGGAAAAAAAAAGAAAAAAATGATTCTCCGTTTGCTCTCCATTGGCATGCCCTACTCCATTCTACAACCTCTTTATTACAACCGTCACAACACAACAAATATCACGTTCAGTGCCTAGTTTCGGCTCTGCTACATGTTTCGGCTATCAGTAGCCATCATCAGGCAAATACACGGTTAACATACAGTATACACAACTGAACTGCAGTACTAGTAAAACAGGATACAATATTATTAATTATATAGAACACTTGACGTAAGAATACAATAAATCAGAATATGTATAAAACATGTTACTAGTATTGCAGTTCAGTGGTGTATATATGTTAACCGTGTATTTGCCTGATGATGGCTATTGATAGCCGAAACTATGCACTGAACTTGATATTTGTTGTGTTGTGACGGTTGTAATAAAGAAGTTGTATACTGTAACACAACAGGATGCATGAAATGAAAAAAAAGTACTCCCTTCTATTTATGTGTCTCTTTAATTCTTATGTTTTTTTCAAACCGTAATTTGTTTCATAAATGTTTACAAGATCTGTAACTACAACAGCCCCGTAAGGTAAAGGTAAAGCTATCCCTGTAGCAAGCCGTGGAGACCAATAGGCCTGTGAGACGTCGAGGATCCCATATCTTCTAGACGATCGGCTCACAGATTGCGGTAAATTTGCCAGCCTTACGTGCCGGCCGCCCTTTAGCCCCAGGAAGATTACTGGTAATCATTTCTGTTATAGGCTCAGTAGACCCCAGGGTCATACTCCTGCTGGAAGGATTAGGTAAATTGAAAAAAATCCAATGACTCCATCGGAATCGAATCCGCGACCTTCCGGTTTATAGCATAGTGCCTCAATTAACTATGCTACCGCGTGCCCAGCAACAGTGCCGTATGTAATTAAATTAATTTTGCAATTATTGTACGTTCACAACCTCTTGTGTGGTCTGTAGAAGTCACTATTTATACATGTGACCAACGCTGGAACACACAGATAATCTGTAGCTGACGCAGTGTCGTTAAATACATTGTCTCGAGCTTGAAGACAAACACCCGTATGTCTTTCACTTTCACGTCGCATTTACTTGGCGTTGCAGTCCGAGTCTAACCTCAACCTCATCTGCTGTAGAGGCTTTATAAATCCCTAAGTCAGGTGCCCACCATCGAAGGACAATACAAAATACGCGTATGAACATTCATGCCCCGAGCGAGACGTAGATTCATGATTCCAGCATCGAGGTGACCTAAGATTGTGCAACTACAGCGATCAGTTAGTTGTATAAATAGACAGTTATTGGAACAATTCCACATCCTCTGTTAACCTTTAACAATTACTAAAGCAACACTCTGGCCCATGAGCGCCATAATTAGAGAGGTCCTTCTCTTAATTCCACACAGACAGCTCTTGTGGGCTCACGCAAAGTGCAAGGTCACCACACCATGCGACTTCATATATTTTGGCCTTACACTGAAGGGGGCTGTACAGGATAATATGGCAACATAGAAGAAGGTCCTGAAAAAAATTTTAAGAAATGTGTTCATTGAATTATCTGGATTTTAACTTATCTACCAAGTCTATTTGTGACGTTCATCAAAGCACATAATTCTTGACGCTCGTAACATGCAAGTATTTTGGCACAAGAAATGCTTATTACGCGGTATTTTACTCTGAAATTGATCCAAGGACAGCGGACATGGTAACAAAGAAACAATTGTCCCAGAACGTTGCAGAACCGGGCGTTTGCTTCTGTTAATTCTATCATTTCTGCTTGGAATGGAGATTTAATAGAACTGTCAAATCCAATTATAAAGGACTTCAAAACATTAGACTATCTGCAGGTGCAGTCGGTAATACATTGGCGCTGATCAACATCACAAATAATTATCTTAAAGTACGAAACATCTTCCATGCAACATAATTACTTGCTCATGTTCGCTCATGTATAATTCTTGTTGCAACACCTGTACATTTTCCGACTTCCACGTGCTTACGATGACCTTCCTGTAAAACCCTGATACGGGCCGGGTTATATTCTCACATGCTGCTACTTTGAATTAATTTGCCATATTTAATGTTGAAAAACATTTGTTAGTACTGCAAGTGACGGGTTAGGCCGCGCCATAGCTCAAGCGGTTAGTCGCTGGCTTCCCACCGCGGAGGCCCGGGTTCAATCCCGGGTCTGGCCAAGTGGGATTCATGGTGGACAAAGTGGCGCTGGGGCGGGTTTTCTCCGAGTACTTCGGTTTC